CTCGCTACTAACTTACGGCGCCAGATCCAATATTGCTTGCATGGTAATCCGTCCGCTGTCGCCGCGGCCAAGGGTCGGCCACACACTCTGTTTTGTGCTCCCCGTGAATGCTCCGGTCTCACACAGCCGACAGCGGATGGATGCTTCGAGAAGCCCAATTTCCCAGCGCGACGCGCTGTCCTTTCTCATTAGAGGAGGCCCGGAGCACGCCCGCAGTGCGACTGTGTGCGCGCTGCTGAAGGTGTTCATTAGCCGGGAGTGTAGCAGATGCCACTGTCGCTGCTAACGCGCGACAAGATATAGATGCGTCCGCAGGTGGTCTCCGACTGGCCATCGGCGTGGTGGAGAGCCGGATGCGTTTGCGTTGCATGTCTCAAGCAGGGTTGCTGCCTTTCCCCCCTTCCCCCCCGCGCTGTGTCCTGCCCTGCTGTACGTGGCGGTTGTCAGTCGCTGCGTTGCTAACAAGCACCACACACACACACCACACACACACACACACACACGACACACACACACACAACAACACACACACACCACACACACACACTTGATTTACCTCCCGTCTCGACGCTGAAACATCTTAGCATAGGTTAAGCTTCCACACAAGAATATGGCTGTAATAATTACGTGTGCCACGTTGGTAAGGAAATAGTAGGTGCACTTCGGCAGCCATTGATGACAGGGTGACCAATCTCGTTTGTGAATAACAAAAAAAAACCCCCTACGGCGGTGACACGTCTGTTTGTGAATACACCCTACGGTGTCCGTTGACAACGTCTGTTTGTGAATACACCCTACGGCCTCGTTGACACGTCTGTTTGCTAAGGACAGCGGGGCCGTCGTCTGCAATAATGACAGGCTACCTCTTTCCCCCCCAGTCTGTACGTGCCAGGTTGACCTATTTGCTAATAAGGAACAGTTCGGCTTCGGTCTGCTGCGCCAAAGACAGCTCGACTCGCTGCTAGTGAACCTATTTATTTTGACCCGTCAGTCTTCAAAGGAAGGTTTATGGCTCCTCTGTTTTTACGGAGCATGTTGACTCATCTGTTTTTGATGTCAGGTTGGTTACTATTGTCGGTATGCGGTAGCGTTGACTGTTAGCCTCTTCAAAAAAATCGCGCCACTCGATTTCAAAGAACAGGAAAACTTTGGCCTGCTAGTAATGACAGGTACCGCTGGACTAAGCTGCCTGTAAGGGAAATAGCAGATTACTTCGCTGTCTGTAGTATCTATCAATAATGTTAACGTAATTAACAGTACGTCCAGGTTGCAGCTCACCAAGTTTAATCACTGTTTAAGCCGAAGCCGCGGCGTGAGTCATTTCTAGTATAAACAGGTGACATATCTCGACAGGTAATGCAAGTTTACTGCTCTTCATTTATCGTCTGGCAAGCCTTTCTAAGCGTAACAAGGCTTGCCTAGGCTACGGCAGGGCTTAAGGCTCGCGCTATGTATGGGCTAATAGCCATGGATGGGCTAGACTATGGTGCGGCTAGGCATATGCCGCATCGTGTAGGATAATGTTCAGCAACTTCACTAGCTCATGAGAGCAAACGCGATTTGAGCCGCGTCGCGCGCGCAACCAGCGCCGCCAATGTATGCAAACACCTTACATGATTCCAGTTAGCAGTGTTAGCAACATTTCAGCGTCGTCGTCGTCGTCGTCGTCGTCATCGGCTGCCATTGACCGTCGTTTCCTAACGTTAGTAGGTAGAGAAAGAGGTGCAGAGAAAAGGATAGAGAGAGAGGAGAGACAGACACACAGAGAGAGAGAGAGAGAGAGAGAGAGAGAGAGAGAGAGAGCAGAGAGCGCTGCGCC